GAAAATCAAGGGCAACGAGGAATCGTGAGGGAAATCTAGTTGAGCAACCAAAACCAATCTAAAGTCATCCTAGGGAAAGAAGAAATCAAGTGCCGAGTTGATTTAAAAGGGGTTAACTCGATATTAAGAGAAATTAAGTCAAGTTCTTGAGCAATTTTGAAGAGAGGTTAGGCATTTTGTAATTTTTGTTAAGCTTTTACTTTTATCCCGATTTTGAATTGTAATTATCAGTATTTTAGGGTTAGAATTTGAGTCTTGTCACAATATGAAAGTTGTAGATTATGATCTGATTTAGTAACCTACCAAATTTGAGTTAAAATGGATAGGTATATTTTCTTCTAAGCCTCTCACCGTCTAGCCATTATGTTCTAGCAGTAAAATTCTGCAATGTAGTCGATTTCATAAAATTACCATAAATTATGTGATTGGAATTTGGGATTGATTTTTGGATATGTTATAATAATATGAGTCTAGTCTCATACAAAACTAGAATCAAGTCATTTGGATTTATATGTTACGAATTAGGGCTAAAAGATTAAAGAAAAGTGTTATTACTCGCTAAAGGGATTAAGCTAACCAAGTTTCTTATTTTTCACTTTTTAAAAGTTTTTGAAGCTCATGAATGATAAAATTACTTATGATATTATCTATATATATGTTTTAGATCCTAAGGATCACGAGATACAAGATGTGGCACATTGAAGAACGTCACATAACTCCTTTTTGTGAGTTGATACATTTGAGATATCTATTGATTGTTTGATGCTATGTTTTCTTGTGTGTTACCCGATGTTGATTACTTATTTCAGATTGTTATGGTGAGTTGATGTTATGTATGATTCATGATATGACTTATGTATGATGATCTACACAAATATGTGATATATAAGGCATTCATGACCTTACAAGATTAAAAGAGTAAGGTTATGATCGGCAAATTCAAGTATTTGTAAATAAAAGTTATAAGAACCCACAAATACAAGCTATAAGAGATGGCCAAGCAATACAAATTTACAAGTTTCAAGTTACAAGTTCTCGAGACGATATTTGACTTGTTTAGGCCATGACCAACAAGAAAATGATACATGTAACATGATAATGCATGAATTAGTATGACTTGATTATATGCTCCTAATTAGTGATATAAATGTATGCTATAGTATCGATGATGATTATCCCTTATTAAGTAGTATCTCATGTGATTTCATTTTATGTATCCGTAAGGCACGAAGATAAAGTTCATCTCATTTTGCTTGGTCATCAACTATTATGAGCAACGAGTCGACCGGTGACCTCCCTTTCCTCTCGTCTCTCATCATGACAAGTATTTGCATTGTAATGAAAATTTTTAATTGTATATGATCCTAAATGATGTAAATGTGACATGATAAGGAATTAAGGAAGGGTTCATTTTACATTAAATTTATTAGTATCCATAGTAGAATAGATAGAAGATAAAAATGAATGAATCAACCCAAGTATGTATACCAAATATAAAATTTTTATTTTCGTAATTTTTCCTTGGCACACACACACGGACGTGTAGAATTGCCTCTCAAACCGTGTCACATGAACACTACTTGTGTGTCTTCTTTTTCTTTGAAATGGCTTTTCTTTTTGAGATAAACATGGACGTGCTGAATTTTTCTTTCAAAATGTGTCACATGACATTGTCCGTGTGTCTCTTTTTCTCTTTGGATAGATGTCTCTATATAAAAACACATACAAACGTATACAAAATGCCCTCCAAACCGTGTTAAGGGCCATTTGCCCTTGTGCCTTTCTTTTCCTAGAATGTGTGTTTTCTTCATAGAAAAACACACATGAACATATGCAAAATGCCCACTAAACGTGCTTAGGGCCACCTGCTTGTGTGTCCCTCTAACTCTTAAATGGTAAATTTTTATAAACTATAAATGTTTTACGTAAATGCATGCACGTAGGGAAAGTTTAAGGACGTTTCATTTTTGGTATCAAAGCCTTGGTTAGGATTCATGTGGGCATACATATATGTATATTATTGCATAAACATATATGACATGATATAATTACACATGTATAGGATGGAAGAAGTCGGTGATCATGGTCTTAACTATGATGCACTAAAGAGAGGAAGCAACCGACCGACATTTTATAGAAGCTTCTATTACTTCTCATACACCTATGGAATAACCCATAGCTTGGGTTAGACCATAGATTCATCATCAACATGCATTATATCCTAAAAATAGACCAAGAAAGCAAATGTATGATAAATTGAGAAAGTATGTGGCCGTTGACTCTTTAAGGTCTATGGATCCATTAGAAGCTAAGAAATGGTTAAAGAGAATCGATGAGTCTTGAACATGATGTAGTGCATTCTAGATGAAAACTTTGATTATATGGTGTCTTTTTTCTAAAGGAATGCCGATGATTGGTGGGAGATAATCCCAAATGCCACGGTTCAGCCTCTAGTCCTCCAATGGGAAGATTTTTTTCGACAATTTAGAGATAATTATATGTTTGAAATTTATCAAGATGAGAAGCGAAAAGAATTTCTAACTTAAAATAAAATAACATGTTAGTGGTAGACTATGAGGTATAGTTTATTTAGTTATCTCATTATGCACCATACATGGTTGTTGTCAAAAAGGACAAGTGTCAAAAAATTTGAAGGCTTGACTTATGCAATCCAAAATAAGATCTCATCTCGGTGATTTGGAAATTTATGCAAAGCTAAGGGTTGCAACTATTCGAGCCGAGAGGTTGAGTAAAGAAGCAATGATTAAGAGTGCTAGTTGTTTGAGGAAGAGAAAAGAATTTAGTGCCCTTACTCAATCTAAATTTAACTTGAGAAAGATGAAGTGTGGTTATTCGGGAACTAAACAAACATAGAGTGGAACCCACATAGGTAGAAGTCGAGGTCAAGGAAGAGGTTCTTTTGATCAAACATCGATTTGTGAGCATTATGGAAAACGACATGATGGTGAATGTCGAAACTAACCGATGGATGTTTTTAATATGGAGCTTTAGATCATATGATCCGAGATTGTCCTATGCAAAGTGAAGTAAATAAGATTGGCTTTGAATCAATCGTGCAAGGATCGAGAACAAGCAACGTGCCTTATGGACGAGGCGAGAGGTTAAGGTAGACCTAGAAACACCAATGTGACACAAGGTATGGCTGGATCCGAGGCACAGAGCAACCGACCCTAAGCTCGAGCTTGGGTATATGCTATTCCTCGACAGGAAGTGGTCATTGCACCGAAGTAATGACAAGTAAATTACTTGTTTCTAATGTTGAAGCTTATGTTTTAATTGATCTCGGAGCCACACATTCATTCATAAAATTCGATATTTACATCACAAATCCATAAATGAATTAAACCTCTAGATTATGACTTGCATGTTAACACTCTTTTGGGATAATTACTTGACGTTAATAGTGTTTTTCGAGATTATGTGGTACAAATTGGTGACAACGAGTTGTGCGTGAACTTAGTGCTCATGTCATTTCATGATTTTGACATCATTGTTTGAGAGATGGAATCTATGAATAATCACAAGCGCGAGCCAATCAATCCTTTTGGGTAGGGATTGGTTAACAAAGCATTATATAATTGTGAATTATTTTACCAAAGAAGTTAAATTTGCATTGCCAAATCAAACAAGAATAATTTTTTGGAAGAACGTAAAATTATGCCTACATGTTTAGTATCCACAATTAAAGCATATAAGTGGATTCGAGGTGGTTATGAAGCATATCTAACACATGTGATTGACCTAAAAAGACAGTAGTTAAGCATAAAGATATATCTCGTTGTGTATGAGTTTCAAGGTGCGTTTCTAGCGGAATTACCAAAGTTGCCATTAGATAGAGATGTAAAGTTTACTATTGAGTTGCTAATTGGAATGGCTTCTATTTCCATTACACCTTATAGAATGGCTTTGAAAAGGTGAAAAGAGTTGAAAACTCAATTGCAAGAATTGTTAGAAAAAGGATACATTCGACCAAGTACATCATCTTGGGAAGCTTCGGTATTATTTGTGAAAAAGAAAAATAGCATATTGAGATTATATATTGATTATCGATAATTGAATTGGGTAACCATCAAATAGTATCTCCTCTTGATTATCGATAATTGAATTGGGTAACCATCATGGAATCCCACCTTTCCTAGCTTTTTTTTCCTTTTCTTATTTTCATCTCATTTTTCCTTTCCTAATTTCGTTTACATGACCATATCCTAAAAAAAATAAGAAAATAAAAATGGGCATATGGCATTAGCTTCCTAGATTATGTAACCGTGTTGGAAATATTTTAAATTTAAAAGGTTGATATTGCAAATTTTTAAAGTATTAGCGCTGAAATAAAACATCTTTAAGGCCAAAGAATGAAGTACAGGCTTTTAATAAGTGTTCCATAGGCCTTTATATTATGGTTTATATGGTAATTGAGACATTAGCTTTTGAGTGACTTATAATAATTAATTTTGTTTTTAATGAAAAGGGAGTTTGGTTGGAAAAAGTTTTCAATTACCCAAGTATTTTGAATATCTCTTACTTAGACATTTGGATATATAATAATACACTTATCTCTCCGCAGCAACGATATAGTGCTTAAAGAGTGCATGAAATAATTGGATCCATGCATTCTCAGACAGAACAAACAAAGCCAATCTGGGAGGGATGAACTGAAAGGTACTCTTCTGATGGGTTTTTGTTTTGGGTTGTGGTTGTTCGCTGGACTGGATAGAACCCACCTAGGCTTTATTTTAACTTGGGATTTGTTCCTTTGTTCACCTAGGCTTGAAGCCTTTTTGTGGGCTTAGGCTTTTACCGAGCAATGTGTTTTGGGCCTAATGAAAATACTAATGGTTAGGGATCTTACGAACCAGAAAGCAACAATGAACAGATACATTTTATAGAGCACCTACAGAATTAGCTGTACCCAATATGGTTCATCGAAAATAAATACGGATGAATTCCATGAAGTAGGTTTAAGCCTTAATAACTCCAATTTATATAACTCCATTTGCCTGTCTTCCAGTGCTAGGCTTGGTGTCTCCTTGGGCTCCTTGAATGATGTGTGTCGAATGACCTGACATAGGAGGAAAACAACAATTAAATCAAAAACTTCAGACCATATCCTCACAACAGAAATAGTAATTAAACTTGCTATGATTTTTTTTTCAAGCTGAGAGAGGGTTACAAGTTAGGCTAAGAGCTAGGCTGCACCAAATAGCTATAACACATGATAATTCAAGAAAGAAAAAGACCTCCTCCCTTTGAAAGGACCAGTGCTGAAAGCCCAGTTAACGGAAATGGTCCGGAAGAAAAGTTTAGCCCCGTTCATTCCAGATATAGCTGCATGAGCTGCCACAAAGCTCTCATATTCTATTAGCGCATACCCCTGAACAAAGAATTTTCCTTTCACTATCAACAAATAGAGACATTCCACTATATTATCTACCAAAAACTACAAAATAATTTTATAAGGAACAAAGCATCTTCACCACATTCTCCAATTACCACAATTTGCAGGACAAAGATAAAATGGTCCGACAGATACAATAAATAAAAGGAAAGAGGAGAAAAGTATTACAAGGATTTATAGTTCATAAATTACACAAAGCAAACTAGACTACCAGAATAAATTATTCCAATTCCAAATTGCAAATCCATCAGCAACATATTCAAGGATAAAAATAATTATAGTACCGATCCCCTACTTGATAACAACCTGACCAATATTCATTATAAGCATTCCTCAATCCACAATTAAAAGAATTTTTAATCGCAGTCACACACACTAATAATCCTCCCCCCAAGTTTCATATCCACCTAATAGTCTCAATTCTACAAAAACACAACAAAGTAATATTTTTCTTATCATAGCATAACAGCCTACTAGATACGAAGATGGATAGAGAAAGTCAGAGAGATGCGACTTTTTACCAGAACATTAATATATGATCAAGCACCTAAAGTTTACCATCATTAATTGCAACACTCATAAATTTTACTCAACTATTTTCTGTTCAATTGGTTATTATTACCTTAAGAAATCCAGTGCGACGATCAAGATTGAGATGCAAGTTCTTGATGTGGCCATAAGCACCAAATTGAGTGAGAATGTCATCTTCTTGTGCTTCTTCATGCACTCCACTCACCATAAGAATCCAACACTCAGCGGCAACAATATTACCGCAAGCAGTATATACGTACGTTAATAATTGGAGATTTAAATTAAATAAATACAACTATAACAAAATCAATATCTTATATGTGCATCTTTTTAATTAATTTATCAGGGTCGGTTTGGAATTGTTCTTGGTTAATGTGTGCAAATCTCATTATTTTAGTTTCTGTGTTGTGCAATGCCATTAAACCCTAGGCCATGTTTGTTCGTTTGTTTTTATCCCTTAAAACCATATCGCTAATTTGAACCCCGAAAAAAAAAAACTCGCATTCAAAATCAGAAATTACGAGTCGATAAATTTCACCACAATCAGCTAATCAACAACAAGAACAACAGCTAAACGACTAGCGTAAATCTTTTTTCATTCTTAAAAAAATATATATATAAATCACATAATGTTAGTTTCTCTTTTAGCAACCAACCAAACACAGCTCAAAGAGAGAGGAAGTAGTGTGCTGAGTACTGACAGCGAAGAGGAGTGAGGGGTTGAAGGGTATTTCTGTCTTTTCCACTTTCTTCTTCTTGCTCACCTACTTCTCCTTCTTCTAGGTGTGTTTGTTGCCTTCATTCTCTTCGTCGTCCGAGTCTGAAACGTCTGCCTTTGCGTCTTGCTCTTCCTCTTTCTCTTGGCTGCTCCAACGCCCTTTCCCTCACACGACGTTCTCATTGTCTTCGTCTGGCATGATTCTACCTCTCATTTTTTCTCTCTATGAGACCTTTTTTTTTTTTTGGGATCCTGTAATTGTCGAGCTTGCAGTGCGGTGTAACAGCACAGTACAGGTTTATTCGCTTTTGGCGTGGCCAGAAAGTTCCCGCCAGTTGCTATTTTTTAGGTCTGTTTGGTCATTTTCTTAACTTTATCCTATGCGCGCGGATGATTTGTTTTTCTCCCACCGCTGGGTTATAAATATCTTTTCCCCATTGTAGATAATTAATTAATGCTATGAAATAAAAGCTTCATACAAACTCATGAAAGACCAATTATTTGTAAATTCATTTTTTATTCTTTATAAATTTACGTAAAATTTTAATGTAAAAAATTTATTTATAAAGACTTAAGTATACAGTTGTATATTCTATAGTTTATCTAAATATAACAAAATTAGAGTTATAATAACAAAAACTATTTAATTATAATTATTTAGCGGGAAAAGATAATTCATTATAAAACTCAAGACCAATTTCACTTAATACAACAAAAAAAATTTATTATGATTTTTTTTATTTACACATCTTTGTTCTAAAAAAGGAGTTATGTGTATATACTATCGAATTTCGTTAAATAGGGATAGATTTTTCCGTCGCTATGTACAATTAGCAAAGGATTAGAAACAATATAAATTTCATCGCCAATATAGTGGTCGATATTTTTTAGCAACTGAACTTTTCTTTTGTCGATTAAATCCATCGCTAAATCGATCTAAATCGCTCATTTGTAATGTCTCATGTATGTCGCCAAAAAATCATTATTTTCACTTAAATCCTTTGCTAAATAGAGAAGAAATTGTAGGATCATGCATCATATAGAGATGCAACATAAACAAAATTTTTTGTTCTCATCCATCTAAAGTCCCAAGGTCTACCGTTGAATCAATTAGCTATATATTAAAAAAGATGGATTAGATTTTATCTCTTATAAAACAGAATCTAATTTATGGATTGAATTGTCCAAGTGTCTAGTCTCTATAAATGATACACATTATGAAAACACCTACATAAGAAGCGACAAAAATCGTAGAGTGTTAGCTCCAATTTTTCTACTATGTATATTTTTCTCACAAGAAATCACTCAAGGAAGTCTGGCGTATAAAATTTTTTAAGGGAGAGTGGCATAATTTTCTTTCTCGCTCTCTTCTTTTATTGTTTTTATTTTTCTTATCTAGTAAGAATTCTCTCTCTCTCTCTCTCTCTCTTTATATATATATATATATATATATATATATATATATATATATATATATATGTGGCCACGTATCCTTTTCGGTTAAGGTGTTATAACTTATATGGTTTTGTTTGATCTTATCATTATAAACTTTGAATTAAGTTTAATGAACTTTTGCCTTAAGTTCTCAAAAATATCTCTCTACTTAAAATACCCCTTACAAGCATTCACTTAAGCATGTTGGCTCAAACTCGCTCTAGCCCAATAATTCAATAATTAATTAGGACCATCTAAATAAGTCGGATTAGGTATTTTAAGGAGGCCTACATTAGGAAATAATTTCTTAAGTCGTCCTTACATTTTATTAAACCTAAATTAGAAAATTGATTTTCAAAATAGAAAACTAATTTCTATTTTAGAAAAATGATTTCGTTTTAGAAAACTAATTTCTATATTAGTAAACTGATTTTCAAATTAGGAAAATAATTTCTAAAATGGAAAAAAAATTTCAAATTCTTTGCTTCTCTTTTTTAGTGTGAGTGTTTAAACTTATGCGTATGACTCAATAGGCTTCTAGATATACTAAAAAAGTATCGAAATGTAAAAGACACTTCTTTTATCTTTTGATATATAAATCAAGATTGACATCTAACAAGACATCAAGACTACATAATTATCTAGAAGGATTACTTAATCCATAATATCATTTCAGGATTTTGGTTTCCATACAATTCAGTTCTCATGTCAATTTATCATAGTGCAATCTCGAACTTGGTTTATTGTCTATTTGATTATGATCACACAAGTTTTTTTCAATTTTTAAATATCTTTGCTTTCAAGTAAATCAATTATGCTCTATTGATATACTTCACGGACATTCATCGAAGTGCAATGTTATAAATCATTTAGCATATAAGGAATGATATGTCTTATCTCAGCCTATCCACCTATCTCTAGTAAATTCATGATGCACCAAACGAATCGTTCACATATAGCTCTTTACCGAGCCTATCAAAATGAATGTCAAAGTACATCAATCCTCTAATAAGATAATCATGATGACTTCAAGTTAAAGGTCTATTTATACCCATCTTATATGGGATTCTCATAGATTATATCAAATAGGTTCTCATGATGAGTCGCGTCTAGTGATATGTTCTCAACATTATTCACTTGTGTGCTTGTTTTGGTATCGTATACTAAGTAGGTGTGAAATCTCCTACTCGCTATCTTATAAAAAGAGCATAGCACTCAAAAATCTTACTACATATTGTCAATATCCAATCTTAACAATGCTATGACTTGAAACATTTAATAATATTTTTTATGTGCATTGATATTTGTCTCACATTTGTTGATCAATTACGAATGGAATGCATATCATATGAACTTCTATATAATTCTATCATATTATAAATAACAAGAATTAATAGAAAGATTTCTTTATTAATATTAAAAATGCAATGATACAATATTTTAAACCATCCAAATAGGTTGGATCTTGGACACCTACCCTAACGAGAATGGGTCGTCGCAAAATTATAATCGCTAATATTCTCGTAATTTCTTCACTAATTACCCTCTTTATTCCATCACTAAATTCGTCACTAATTTTTTTTTAAAAAAAAATCAATAGTCATTTATTAGAATTGTAATAACAAATAACTATAAATAACATCTTATTAAAACATAATATACTATTTAATAAAATTAAAAATTTATAAAATAAATATATAAATATGTTAATAAATATAAAATTATTTTAAAAATTTTTAAATAAAAAAAATTATTCTCATTATCATCATCTCCTACATCATCTTCCGAATACTAGCCGTTGAGAGGAATGATTGACTGGTCGACTCGTTGGGTTGTAAGAGGGTCGGGAAGATGGACAAAAAGTTGTTGGAGCTTCTCTAACAACTTAATAACTCTCTACAACCGAGTCTACATACTCGCTAACTCAATTGGCTTGACGCTGAATGGTGGCCTTAATCCCGTTGATCCTATCTTTATACCGGATAGAAACCTTCCGGATATTATCATCGGGATACCACAAAGTGGCAGAGGAGAAGCTATCGCCAAAATATGAGTAACACTCGGGACATATATAAGTTTTGATGTCATACACTCTCTCGCTTTTTCTTCCCTTCGATGCATCCAAATATATCTTGGACATGTCGATATCTTGATACAATACATCACCTTTATGTCGCTCCTTAACAAATGCTTCTTCCATTTGACTCGCACTATTCCTAAGTCATTAAAATAATTAAAATATTAAATCATAAGTATATTTTTTAGATTATATATATATATATATATATATATATATATATATATATATATATATATATATATATATATATTCCTATTGCTTTCTCGCAACCGTTTGTCGACGAATGTCTTATCCTTTCGATTATGAGTGGTCACAAACAACTCATAAAGATTTGGATTAAGACTCAATTTATTATGCTAAAAAAAATAAATAAAATAATATGAAGTGAAATAAATACAAAAATTAATTTATAATACAATGAATAATACAGCATTTATCAAATGCTCGGCATGCTCGATCAAAGAGATAGACCCTCTAGTATAATTGGATGGACCAACACCAATACTACCCATCTTTGACATATGATTCTAAAATGTTTGTTAAGATCGAGCCTAATACTTGTGAGTGGCCTAATCCCCATGTCATGTTTCCCACATCTCATGTTTAGCAAACAAAGGTCTCGTTACTCTTATGTTTCAGCTTGTTAAGCATGTTGTCATGCTACTTGCATGTCGACTCTCTCACGCATCCTTAATCGGTGTGTCAACAATCACATCCCATAAAAAGTACTTCTATATGAAGAAAAAAATAATATTAGTACTTTTCATGATAAATTAACACTTTAAATGAAATATATACAAATAATTAATATGTTATCCTAAACTCATTAAAGTAAAAATCTTTTGTCACCATGGAGATGGACTTTCATATGAAGCAAGCGACGTCCAACTACTTTTTGAAAATTATGATGATTTTTGTAAAACACTTGCTTGATAAAACCAAACTGCTGAACAAAACAAACAAATAATAAATAAGTGAATTAATGATTCTAATATAATATATAAAAATAAAAAATTAATTATCGTATGTAAAATATATTGCTTACTAGTTATCCATAATCCAAATGGTTCGTCCATCATTAGATCCAATAGAACTTTTTGGAGTTAAGAAAACCGTAGTAGGATGAATCATAACAAGAGGCACTATCGACGGACGCACTACTCGGAGGAGATATAGACATGTCGGCACCACTATCAAGTCTATGGCCCTAAACGAGTTGGACGAGTAGTGTCATTCTACGTACATCGACATTATCAATCGCACGATCAACATCAAAGCCACGACCATTGATATCGTGACCATATCCGCCTAATCCATGAGGTATAACTCAAGAAAAACACTTGAAATAGTTTAACAAATGAATAAAAATTCGACAAAAAATATATTATGAATTATTATGAACTAAAAAAATTATTTAATTAACAATTTTCTTAAAAATCTAATAAAATTTCAGCAAAGTCTTCTCTATAAATTGTACTTTTTTCAATTAACAAATACCCCAAATGATTACAAAAATACCAAATTAAATCAACCAACAATCAATTTATACACACCAAGACCAACAATTGTCTCGGATACTCAATCAAAATTAAATTTCAAATGCGTCTTTCTAGCTCCATCGTAGAGCATTGAGCATTGAACCAACCTTATTTCTCCTCAATTCCGGGGTGTCTCCAACCCCTCGATCAATACATTACGATGTATCTCAACACACTTCAATAGTTATATATGAAATAATTAAACTAATTAATTCTAATTCTAACCAAATTAAATTTAAAATAACAATAAATTAACAAGTTTTAATACAAAATAAAATTTTAATTCAACCAATTAAACAAAATTAACCTAATTAATTAAAATTTTAATTAACTTAATTAATTCTAATTCTAACCAGATTAAATTTAAAATAAAAATTAATTAATAATTTCCAATATGAATAAAATTTTAATTCTACCAATTAAACAAAATTAATCTAATTAATTAATTATAAATCTAATTAACTTAATTAATTTTAATTCTAATTAAATTAATTAATTTTAATTCTAAGTAAATTAAATTTAAAATAAAAATAAACTTCTAAGTTTGAATATAATTAAAGTTTTAATTCAACCAATTAAACAAAAATAACCTAATTAATTAATTAATTATAAATCTAATTAACTTAATTAATTCTAATTCTAACCAAATTAAATTTAAAATAATAATAAACTTCTAATTTTTAATATAAATAAATTTTTAATTTAACCAATTAAAAAAATTAACCTAATTAATTAATTCATTAATTATAAATTTAATTAACTTAATTAATTCTAATTCTAACCAAATTAAATTTAAAATAACAATTAAACATAATTAACCAAATTAATTAACTAAATTTAAAATAAAATTAACTTAATTAATTCTAATTAATTTAAATTAATTAACTAACTAACCTAAAATTTAATAATTTAATAAATTAATCCATCAATTAACCTAACAATTAACAATTTAAAAAAAATCAACAAAATAACAATTAAATATATATACAATCATAAATCAAGTAATTAAACTTAAGTTAACCTAACAATTACAATAAATTACCAATTTTAATTAAGAAAATAAAAGAGAGAAAAACATATCTAATTCGGATGGAATTACACCAAGATGAGGAAGAAAAGATGAGGGTTTTGGAATAAAAAACCTTGAAGTAGGTGTAGATCGATTGAGAGTAGAGGAGTAGAGTTTGGTGGTGGGGTTTGAAGGGGGTAGGAGAACGACGGCTATGGCTCGAGAAGGAGAGGGAGAAGAAAATGGGGGAGAAGAAAGAAGAAGGCTAAATTAAGACTGAAAAATAGCGACATACACGAACTCCTCGTCGATCCTTTGTTATTTGTCCGTTGCTAATCCGTATCAAACTTAACAACTAATTGTGCACGATTGATACGCCCATTTTTTCACATATAGTGACAAACATAAGCGTTTGTCACTAATGTGTCGTAAATTTGATGGAGTTCGTAATTAATCCGTCACAACTTAGGTGATTTTATCTTTCAAAAAGTTCGTCCAATTTTGGCCAAATTCTCACTTTTAGCGATAGATTTTTTCATTGTTAAATTACAAAGGATGTATCCTTTAACGACAAAATATCTATCACTAAATAGTGACATTGAAAATAGAGACAAATTTGCCACTCTGTCGCAATTGTTCTAAGTAAATTCGTCCCTAAACCGTCTTTATAACTCTTAGAAAGATTTTACTATCAAATTTAGCGACGGGTTAATGTCGATTGCTAGTAAATCACTACTATTCCATTACTAATTATAATAATCGCTATTCTGAATTTGCTTTCTATTTAACGATATACGTCTCATATTGTTATTAACATAATTCTCTTTCAAAAAATATATATACTCTTTAACTCACTTGATCCAGTTTTTTTCCTATCTTATTGTTAGAATATAACATTTTTATTTAAGATTAATTGCTAGAAACGTACCTTTATTTTTCACATTGTTTTAATATGGTCTCTTTATTTTTTTATTTTTTTTATCACGTCTTTTATTCTTGATTTTTTTTTTTTTTTAATATGGTCCATCCAATAGTTTTCAACTACTTTTTTTATATCTGTAAAATGACATTTAGAAAAAAAAAAAAAAAAAGTTATTTCGTATCATGCCATGTTAAAAAATATCAAAAAATTTAGGTGAAACTATAAAAGGAAAAAAAAATTCTTTTCTCTCTCCTCTAAGCTGAATCAAACAGCAAAAAAATCACATTCCTTTTTTCTCTTCACTTTGTGATTTTCTTTGTTGATTTTCTCTTCTTCTCTATAAAATTTAGAATCCTTCCAATTCTCAAAATTGACGAACAGTTACTTTAAGGTTAGCCCAAGTATCCTAGGGAAAGAAACAAGAATCCCAGCCCAAGAGAAACCCATCCCTTTTTTCTTTTTTTTCTTTTTCCATTAAATCCAGGCTTCTGCTTTCAAATTGACCTTCTAAATTCAAACCTATGTAAACATGATAATATTCCCTTTATTTTGGCCATACATAAATTGCAACTTGTATCATTTGGCAGGGCTGAAGGTGAACCTTCTGAAATAGAGAAGATGAAGATACAAATATTGACAGCAGAAAAGAATAGTGGCACTGAAATGCTCAGAAAATACTTGACATTTTTCCAGTGGAAAACATGAACCTGGAACGAAAATAATCTAATATTGTTGATGGCAAAAAAAGAAGCCAGAAGCCCCATAATGGAAATGAAGGAGACGCCCATATTAATGCGACAAAGAATGGTGTTGTAGAAATGGTGGATAAAATCATAGAAAAATTTCCTGTGACAATCAGCACCATACCCATCTTTAGGCCACACATCATCATCATCGTCATCCTCCCCCTCCTCCTTATCATCCTTGTAGGATTCCTTGCAACCAGGACGATGACCCGCACCATTAGACCCCACACAATCTAAATAACAATCTCTACAAATCTTGAACCCACACTCACATTTTTCCTTTATTGCTTTCTCATCACAACCTTTCATGCCACAAACAAGCCCAGATTTCATATATTCATTTGTTTTCTATCGAGCAATCAATAACACCATGGAGCCACCATTTGCTTATAGCTTGAAAAGACAAGAAAAATCATCCTTTGTGAGCTGGGTTGTTTTATACAAAACTACGGTCTTTTTAATCATTCTCTCTCTTTTTAGTTTGATTTTAAGCTAAAGCTTTGAGATTTGCAAGAGGTTAACTGTTGTCAGTTTTGAGAATTGAAAGGATTATAAATTTCATGAAGAAGAAGAGAAAATCAATAAAAAAAAATCGCAAAGAGAAGGGGGAAAAAAAGTGCGTTCTTTGTTGTTTGATCGTGCTTAGAGAAGAGAGAAAAGAATTCTTTGTTTCTATATTTTTTTTCTTTTCTATTTCATTATTTCAGCTAAATTTTCTGATTAAAAAAAAAATCATGTGATAAATTATTCTTAACATTTTCTGATTTTTTTTTTCAAGTAGAGCCACGTTATAAAAAAAAAAAAAATTCACGTGACAAATTATTCTAACATGATACTATATCAGTAGAGAGCCACATGAAGGGAAAAAAAAAACCATTACGAATTAAAAAAGATTTTTTTAAAAAATAACACGTGAGGAATAAACAAAATATTTAGCTATTAATCCTTTCATTTATTACATAGGCAGACATTTCCATACCTTCGTTTCCTTATCTTTCTATATATATATATATATATATATATATATATATATTTTTTTTTTTTTTTTTTTTTTTTTGTTGTTGTTGTTGTTGTTGGGTTCCTTTTCTTATAATAGACATACACAGGAAAACACGAAAAGGAGGTGAAATGTTTTGTTTCAACTACTCTTGTAGCATCATGTCAGGAAGACAGCACTAACAAAATGAATGGCTAATCTGCAGCTCAGCAACTTTTAACATCAGAATTCAAAGAGCAATCACAATTAGAAGCTCTGACACGTGATGAAGGTCAATAATAATGGAAGAGAGATAAATTGAAAGTGTGCATTTGAATAATAATACACATCAAAATTACGTTAAAATTGTTGTTGCTGCTGCAGCTTCAAACATAAATTAAAATTGATTACTATTTCCTTTCCTTTTCTTTCCTACCCCTGAACTAAGGTACAAATTGACTGCAGAATTAAATAAAAAAGGAGGGCTTGTGCATACTTTGTATGTCTCAAACAGTTTCTTTAATACATCCGTAATGAAAGGCTCCAAACCAATTCAAACGCGTTGTGTCGGTATTTCTTTCGCTCTATAATTCAAGGAGTGCAAAGGCTCTTCAGATCTTCCTCGCTGGCATACCATGATGGTATTATCTTTGATACGTGGGGATAAAGATCCTTATAGGAATTTCTGATTGTTCCTTCAGCAACTCCAGTTGCTAGTGAAATATCTGCATCCAAGCCACTACTATCAGATGCGTGTAGAAACTCAGGCAGTTAAAATACTAAAACATCAGTGTCCAATGGTATCTAAAAAATCTACGATACTGAATGATCTATCTAAATAAAACTTATAGAATAGCGTTATTTCAAAAATATCTGATTTTGTCCACCAATTAACCATTTGTTTCTACTTGATAAAAAGAGTTCAAAACAATCATCGAACCTCGGAGAGGCTTCTTGTCATCTGAAAGCTGAGTTATTATATAGATGACTGCTGCTGCAATTGATATAGGGCTCCTCCTGCAAGCATTACATGTCATTATAAGGTATTATAAAGAACCTCAGTGCAAAGATTACAGGATGTGTGTTTACACAAAGGGCATATTGCGTGTTATAATGTATGTTGAGGGAAGAGGGAGATTGTGGACGCAAGCAGCATCAACCACAAACAAGGTGATTTCTGTAAACAATCATCAGCACATAGGCTCCACAATTAAGCTACTTTCTCTCTCTTCCTCTTACATGCAAAGAATAAAAACTAAATAAGCTCCCTAGCCTCTCTTTTACTTATACATGAGCTTTATCAAGTTTTCAGCACTACAAAACTATCTGATGAGTACAAAGAGAAGACAGTTCGTATACCTCTAAACGAGAATTGCTTAAAAGATAAGTGATGAATGAGTCATGGAAGGGGCAATCAACATTAAATTCCTTTAGTGAGTGACTAAGATGAGCAAAACAGAGGAAACCATCGCTTTTCTATTAAAAGTAGAGGTGATCTGAGAAACTTGTAAATACCTTATATCAAACTGTTCTGATGTTCTAACAGCTTCTGTGGCAGCTTTAACTGCGTGATTAGACATTCCAAGATTGGAACAGAAACGCCTCTACAGATCAAGTTGAGGCTAATGTTAATAACAAATGGAGCTAATTATACTGAAAAAACCCACACACACATATGAAGAGTAAGAAACACTGCCTGTAAATCAACAGCAAAACTAAAACAGTGCATTTTATGGGGAAAAAAAAACACACCATAAAATCCCCAGCATGTATAGTTCCCATCTCCACAGACTGACCGGTCTCCAACCCCAGTTGTTTCACTATGTATTCTTTTGCTCGACCAATTTCCTTCTTTGTGGCTCCATTGGCGACGGAGCAAATTTCTAGTTGAAATCCAGAGGTTCAGGGAAGCTCAAACACTTAGCGAAAGATTAAATAGGTAAACATCCAGATGTTAAAAGGATGTTAGGCGGTACCCTTTACAGTTCGAGGCTTGTCTTCTTGTCGACAGGCAATGTAGAGGCAAGCAGCCAATAGAGCGTCCTGATTCCTTCCTCTACTGGACTTTTGATCTTCCACTTTCTTATAGATCTCATTAGCCCGATCCTTCAGCATTATGAAAATGCATCATCAGAGAAAGACAAAGAAACATTAGAAGAAATTCTCATGAACAACCAAACAAGAAAAGCATCCAAACTGAACTTTTCAAAAAATATTTGTGGCGGTCCAATAAACAAGATGTTTTTTCAAACCCACTCCCTTCATCGTAAGAGCAAAAGATGAGGAAGCACTTTTGATGTTTGAGATTGTTCTATTCATTGTAATTTTAGATGACTGCATAAGAATTATGTGTTTCTCCATAAACTTGCAAAATAAGTATAACAATATGTTATCTCACACCCTAACTCACTTTTCACTCCCCACAGATGAATGAGTCTCCTTTTGCTTCAATGAGAAGAGCGTACAGTTATCAAAATATTTGACTTTGCACTTGCTTCAAGTAGATAAGGCTTTTTCAGTTATACCATAACAGCAAATATTATGTGGCTCTATTTACATATGCAGTACATAAAAAATTCCCTTCACAAGTAATACATCGAGAATAAAATTTCAGGAATAAATGTCTTTAGGATCTCCTATATTATAATCTCATTCTTTTGCATGAGATTTGATCATGCTTACAAAAACCTGTCACTTTATTCCAATTGAGCCATAGAGATATAAAATATGCTCATATATCGTCACTTCATAAGAACGTGCTCGTGCATTTTAAGGACCCTGGGGAATGACAAATCTGAGTGGAATTATATACATGGCTAGTTACCTGATAATACTCATGAAATATTAAGAAAACATACTTTATTTACATGATAATTTAGGGTTTATTGCCATATTCATGTGAAGATGTTTTCGGAAAAGATACTGTTGAAACCATAAGTGGTAACATCAATGTACAAACATCAAGTATGAATACCTTAATTGTTGCAACAAGGCCCAACCTGAAACAGAAATTCCACAATTTAGCAATGACTTTGCAGTAGTGTACTTCTTCAAAAACATCATTGCCCATAAAATGAATGTACAGAGACAGAGATAGATTTCAGTAAAATGAAGACAAGAACTTTGTTCAGTGAATAATCCACAGCATTAAAAGGTACAAACAAAATCAAGTTGGAACAAAAGTCCACCTCATCTATAACAAAATTCATAAATTATGCCAAATTCAACGACCGTGCAAGCTAACCTCATTCCATCAGATATAGAAGAAACTTCATCAGCTTAAATTAATATCCATTCTGCCTTCACATCAATAGATTCCTTGTTGGGGATGAATTCACATTTCCACTATCTCTATTAAATACCTAAAATTTCAATAAATACCCCTTCCCCAACCACCCCCCCCCAACACACACACACACACACACACACACAAACACACAGTTACAACATCAAAACCACACCAAATGCAGGATCTATTCATGTAAAATCAAATCCCCAAACACAACAACAACACAAACCAAAACCACCAAACCGTCAGTTAATTCATGAACTTCCATTAATTCAACACACTCAAATGAATCCGCAACTCCAATTTCAGTCAAGATCAATTAAAAAAGTTGGAACTTGCCAAATACTTAAAGTAGAACTTTTTTGTGAAAAAAATCTTTTAACATTAAGGTATAAACATAATCAAACTGGAAATATATTTCCACAACCTTTTCAACACACTCACAAATGGTGACATATTCCAGTAATTCAACTGAAGCTGAACTTTAATCACAATTTCTTTCTTTTCAAAGATGCAAGATCGACTCTTTCCATATGACTGGCCTTTACTAGAAACAACAGAGTCATCCCTAAATTTCGCACTTTAAGACAATATTCACCCTTAGTCAAATTAAAATAAATAAATAAAAAGTCATTTTGTTTGTTGAATGTGCATTTCTCCTATTGCTATTATATGCCCCTTCAAGACCAATTTCATCAACCTAACCGCAGACTCAAACCATCAACTAATTCCATTAACATTACAACCAATCAAAACCCACAATTCAAGATCCAAATCCAACTCCCCTGCCCATCTAAATCAAAAATCTAAACAACTCATCAATTAAAGTCACATAATTTAACTCATTAACTTCATCCAATCAGATCGAAGCACCTTCATAACTTCATAACCAATCAAATAACGCAAAACCCACAAAAAACAAAATACCTATCAGACATAGTAGCGATAGTTTTAAAAGCCAAAATCAACCCACGATCAGGATTGGACCCACGATTCTGCCACCGACCAAGAGAACTCGACAAGAACTCTCCAGAAGCGCCATTAGGTTTAGCAATAACAGTAGAAAGACCACCATCTGTTAATAAAGGATTAGTAGGTCCACCAACACGAACTGGATCATTATCTCCTGATTCATTCGCAAAGGTTCTCCACTCTGATGTTTCATCGATCGAGTGAGATTCTAAGACAAGACCACACTCTGAACAAACTGTGTCTCCAGCTGAATGGTCGAATACTACCTCTGTGTGTCTCTTACAATCTGAACAGAAAGCGTCCCCCATGTTTCGTTATTCTTGTTGATGAGTTTTTTTAGCGGTGACAGGAGAAGAGAGAAGAGAGACAGAGAGAGAGAGATAGAGGGGAAAGGAAAGATGGAAGCGATTGATGTGTGAATCGAGGGGTTATATAAGAAAGGAGTTAATTGGGTTAATTGTTGCAGAGGTCCTCTAATCTTTTTTTCTTTATCTAGTCCCTCTTCTTCTTTTTTTCGTTTTAACTTCATCCCTTTACGTTTGATTAATGTTTTAATTTCATCTCTCTATTAACTTTTAGAATAACAGCAATAATTTTTTCTGTATTAATACCATCACTTTATTCTATTTTTTTCTAAATTTTTTATATATCAAATTTAAATAAATGAATTAAAAAAATAAAAATATATCCGATCATTCTATCTAAAAAAACTAAACAAAAGATGAAGTTAAAAAAAAATTTATACAAAACATTCTTTATGGGTTAAAATATATCTTTACGATAGTAAATAAATTTTAGGTATAAAACATATTTATAGCATTTAAACAAACATGAAGAGAATTTTAATTAAATTTTAAATTTTTGTTTGTCATTTTATAATACTTCAACATACTCTATTAATTATGTTGATTTTACAAATTTCTTACTTTTAAAAATTATTATTATTATTATTAATTAACAATTTATTCAAAAAAAAAAAAAAACAAGCTGGTAGCAGGCACACATGCTAATTTATGTATATTGTAAAAAAAGAATTTAAAAAGAAGTTAAATAATAATAATAATAATAATAATTTGGAAGAAAAAAAAAAAAAAAGACAATGTGATTATTTAATCTTCTGCGTTAACTGTTACATCATCACTGAGCAAAAATATTTGATGGAAAATTTTGATTGACATTTAAAAAAAAAAAAAAAACTAATATACTCAAATGAAAAACATAAAAATTTATATACTCAATTCAAAATTGATGTACTAATAATATAATTATCCCGTGCAGCCATTAATCTATTATTAAATGCTTCTTCGCTTAGCTCTGAAGAAAAGAGGTTTTGTTTTGTTTGTCTGCTAGCGCTGGTGGTTCAAAAATGAATCGCTTAGTGTCTGGATGATTTGTCTAAAATACGAATAAAGAGATGTTAATCTTGATAAAAAAAAGAAAATTAGTCTAAAAATATATATATGTGCGACCATGATGTTTTATGCAAATATTTTTGGTTTTTTTTTCTCTTAATAATTAAATCATAGTAGAAACATGAAATTATTTGCAAAGAGTAGTGCATTTGAGTCACAAATTACATGGATGAAATATAATGAATGATTACTTACAAGTATGAAAGTTAATTAAAATGGTAAATAATTTTACTGTTGAAAAATACTGCTTCGTTGCGATTGTATCTATAATTTCCTATAATTTCAAGGGAAAGAATTTCATATCATCTGTAGGATTCATGAAATGTTATTTATTTGAAACACAAAATACTCTAATATTATTATTCTCAAAACGATTTTGTTCTTTCTTAATATATATAATGCTAAAAAAAAAAAGAAGAAGAAGAAGAAGAAGAAGTTGAAGATAAAAGCATTTCTCGTTGGTTTCAGCTTGTTAGCACGGTCATGCATTATGAGGGTATGCTTTGGCGTTAAGAGATTTGTATTGTGTGTATTCGAGATGGGTAGGGTTTGATTTTGGTTTGGAGTTTTGACCTTTTGGGCATGTATTTTTTGTGTGCCTCAAAAGGGGCCGAGCGGGTGATCTCCAGATACAACTAATCTGGTTCTACCTACATGATTTTGACATGACTGTCAATTGGGTCCCTTTTTTTTTTTTTTTTTTTGATGGGATATGTGGTCATAAATGAGTAATTTTTTTTTCCATTTATTTGGTTTGTTGTTGTTGTCTTGATTGGATTCATTGAAGAAATCAGAAAAGATGAGCTTTCTAACTTCATCAAATTTGTGCTACCTAGCAATTACTGTTATCAATCTAGGTAGGAGTATGTGTTTTAATTGTCACAAATATATCTTACTACGTGTTTATAATTTACTCTTCTCTGGAACATTTCTTTTTTTATATATAGCAATTATCATAAAGATTTTGTAGCTTTCTCAAAAAAAAAAAAAAATCATGTAGAAATAGTAGTTTAAAAAACACTATTACTAAAACTAATTTAATAAAGAAAAACCAATAATTGGTTTTCTTTCTATAAGGCACAAGCCCACGGCAGTGTCAAGAATATGCTTAAGGCCCAATTTCACTCAAGCCTAGGTGGTTTACATCTTTTATAAGGTTGGGCTGGGCTTATTTTTTCCCCATATCAGATGGATCTTGCATATTACCATCCTGAAGCTGTAATTGCCTGTTCTTCTGTTACTTCTCCCCTGACTTGTCTATGTTATACCCGGTTCCTAACTTGATTTGAATTTTATTACAAAAAACTCATTCGGAAATGACATGATGTGTGGTTTAATATATATTATATACTTCCTCCATCTTAAATATATATGAATAGGATAAGATTAAATGATATATGAATAAGATTAAGATGTAAAATAGGTCTAGGTGTCCTCTCTTGCGAGAGACACTTCCATACTTGAAGTGGGCACTAGATGTCTCCACTTGGAAAGAGGCATTCCGATGCGTACGTGAGAGAGAGAGAGAGAGAGAGAGAGAGTGTAAGAAAAGTATTTAGGTGTATAGAATGAGTTCATTACCTTAGATATGAGAATATATGGTCTTTATATAATATCAAGGTCATTAGTGCTTATACTAACTCCATAAGTTTGTTACATGTAACTTGCAAGTTAGTAAGTCAGTGGGGGTTACTTGTAATAGGTTAGTAGACAGTGAGTATTGATAATTATATATAATATTAATATATATTTTATAACTTGTATGACCATTAATCTCTCTATAACTCATGGTTAATTGATCAATATATATTAGTTTAGGTCTACATGGAATCTTATTAAACGTGGACTTATCTATCCAAATGATCACTGTTCATTAATAAATTTTAATTCATTAGATACTACTAATCAATGTTATCCATGTAATCATGATCATGATAGGTATTCTTCTCTTTTTTTCTAAAACCATACATATGAGCAAGACTTCACTAAAAATGAGACAACCACGACCAATTATCGAAGGACTCATAATCGAATAAAGCTCGGACAAATGATATAATTAACAAACAACCTCGAATGAATAAGATAACACGTCTCCTGCTAGTTAGACAAAAAAATATATATTTAATGAAGACATGACTTTCCGAAATATCCATATCTCATCATCATCAAATATGACTATACATGTGTCTTTAGACAACAATGGTTATCTCAATAAATCCTAAATCTCTACATGGATGACATGGGCTATTGAATACCAAAAAAGACACCAATTTACCATCCACTCCAACAAATTAATCACATCTTTATCTATATAAAAGTTATCACATTAAGTATTACAAGTTCTATCTTCTAAGATTTTATATATATATATATATATATCTTTTCATACTAAGAGTTAAGTATTATTAAATCTATCAAGATTAAACACTTCCAAACATATCGGATGAGGACGCTTTTAATTCAACATATAACTAACCACATAAATCAAACTATCACTAAGAATTAAATCATTTAATCATTAATTCTAATTCAAGAATCAAATCATCATCACAAACAATAAAGTAACAAAAATGAAACTTGTTTTAAAGCATCTTTTCAAGACTCAAGGTTGATTCGTCTATGTTCGGAGTATATGACTTAATGTTGGTAGTTGTGTTGTGTTTACTATGTTTTGTATTTTATCTAATTTTTAATTTTTTGTTGGATTGACCCTTATTAGTTTCTTACAAGTTTTATCCAACTAAATATCTTCATTTTATTGGATTGGTCTATGGCTAAATTAATAAATTATGTACGTATGATGATTTCTTCAAATAAAATAATATCATGCATTTTGTGCCTCCAGCATGTCATGCTTTATATGCATAGCCATATACATGTTCCATCCGAAACAACAAATGTAGGGGTGTTAATCCAAAAATCTCATTCCATTCGACTAGGGTTCTGGAAAGAAGTAATAGCCACCACAACTATTAGCTCATACGGACGCATGCTGCTGTTCTTCAAATGGTACTTCAATACATTACCCACCAATCTAGGAGTTCCCAGATTCCCTCCTTTATCAAACATGGGAACTCAAATAAAGACAGAAAATCACAAAAGGCATCGCACTTTCAAGGAATTCTGCCCATGACATGAACCCGTGATTCTGGGGTCCCAAGTACTCACCTTTTTCTTCAATACATATTCCGCCAAGAAAAGAAACTGAACAGGGTGAGATCATTCATGGCCAGGGCTCTCAATATTCTCCACCAGGCCTTTACCAAAAGATGCACAAAACCAAATTCTCCAAATCTTCCCATGGAAGCAAATCCATTAGGGCTTAACTCTCAAAATTGCCAAATGATTGATAGATACAGTTGATATTACCCCCATAATGATTTTAGTACGTACATATAAATTCATGTCTGCAATGTTATATGAATTTTTTTCTTCCTCACGACATTGTCATCTCCAGGTGGTCTAGCTAAAGGAAGTTTGGAAGGGATAAAATTACATGGAGCCAAAAGTATTTCGCTAACTTATTATAACAGTCTAATTCAACTAGTGAGTAGTTTTCGTATGAAATACTTTGGGTGCCCAATTTTTTATTTAGAATCTTTTGGTGGCTCAAATCGAAACACAAAAAATCAGAAGATCGATCAAACCTATTGCCAACCTGAGCCTATCTGACAAGTCAGTAAACTTTCCGTTTTGTAGGTCAGTGATAATTAATTTAAACATGGAAATAAAAAGGTACTTTTACAGTTAAATCAGTCATGAATGGCGAATCCCAATTCCAGCCATTCTGACAATTTCTTGGACTTCCAAGGATTTTTAACGTTGTGAGTTGAATTGCAGAGGACATGGCAAAGCAGATAAAGTAGTCATGGCAATTCAACAGACAGGTAACTCAA